CCCACCCCCACAGAAGCTACGAGAGCATGTCAGACTTAAGGACATGAGATGCACAGCTTCTAAGATCTGTAGATCTTGGTTGGTTATGTGTCAGGAGGAAAACTGACTGAACGGCAGAGAGGGATGACTGTGCTTGACTGTACCCTGGAAAAGATGCTTCTCTAGGATTGCTAACTGCACAGAGGCCTGGAGCGGAAGGATGGAAGGCAGAGGCAAATGGGAGACACCACAAGCATGTAGTTTAACTACTGAGCCATGAGCACCACAAAGAATCAAGTGAGGAGTGCCCAGCCTCCCCGTGAGGCAGCAAAGAGAACAGCTCTGTGGGCTAAGGAACGACTCAGTGTGTGAAGGACTTGCCACACAAGCAGGGGAACTTGAGTCTAACCCCTCGCATTCCTGAAAAGGCTGGGAATGACAGCATGCACCTAACCAGCACCAGGAAAGTGGAGACAGGAAGATCCCCTAGGGCTTCCTAGCTTGATATACTCTAACTGGTGAGGTCCAGGTTCAGTGAGAGACCCTCAAAAAATCACATGTAGTGTGACTAAGGAAGAAAGCTCCTGTCTATATCTGCTCCCCTACACACATACACACATGCACACACATACATGCGCATACATATTCACACAAAACGGGGCTAAGCTGCTGGCAAAGTGAAACTAAGATCAACCACTGTAAGGCTTTGCATAAGGCAAGCATGGTTAGTCTGTGGTGAGAGACTCACCATATTTAGGTGCACAGACAACGTAGAACAATCAGTTCTTCCCAATAATCTGTGTATACAGACCACACAGGAAGTTCATGGCCCCACAGAATAGTAACAACGGCGAACATTCATTGGCTGTTCGTCTTAGTCTCCAGATGATGTTCTTTTAAACATTTTTTGTAGGGTTTGAGTGAGTGGGTGGTTCTTTCTACGTGTGTGAATGTGTATATGCAGGTGTGCAAGCCAAAAGTCACTATCAGAAGTCTTACACAATTTCTTTTCCATTTATACTTTTCTCCTTTTGAAGTTTATTTTTAAAAAGCCTTACTATTTAAAAAACATCTTGCAAATAAAAAAAAGCATCACCCACCAAAGTTATCCAGGCCCAACGTCTGCACAACTTAATGAACTTCTACATGGTTAGAACTGACGCTCAGAGGAGAACGTGAAGCTTCAGTTGTACACTGTCCGCATGGACTGTATCGTATGCATTTATCCACTACCCGAAGCAAAACATCCACGGCAGCATTAGAACGAGAGTAACAATTAGCTTCATACCCTCCTCTTTCATAGCACATGTCCATCACGTGCCGTCACTCCTTCCTCATGACTTCCACTCACCCCTGTTGAGACAGGGCCTCTCACTGAACCTGGAGCTGGTTGATTAAGCCAGACTGGCTGGCTAGAAAGCCCTGGGGCTCCTCCTGTCTCCCCAGGGGTTGGTAGGGTGGCGGGCACACGCCACAGTGCCTGGCTTTTCACATAAACAAACACTATGGATTTGAACGTGCTTCGTGCTTCGACAGCAAACACTTTACCCTCTCCGAAACCTGACGTGGTAGGTGATATTGTCATTTCACAAATAAGCAGACTGAGGCTGAAGAAGGTTATGAGCTTGTTCAAGCTTCTTCCTGAGCTGGTGAGTGGTGAGGCAGGCGTCTAATGCAGGCAGGCAGGGAGGGGCGATCACACTGTAGCACTTGGCTTTAACACCCGCTAAGTGGTTAGCTATGTGTAGGAAGACAGAAAATGCAAAGTTTCCCAACGACTACCAACAAGAGGAAAAACCTCCATCTACCCTGAGTGCTGTACAAATGTACCAGAGAGGGAAGGAAGGAAGATTCCCTCAGAAGAAAGCCAGACAGCCTACCTGGAATATTACCTGCCGTTTCTGACTACAGGTGTGACAGAGATCAGCACTGGAAAGTCTAATAACGTGTACATGTAATAACATGGACTGTGAAACTGTATGTATAATCACACAAATCTGTGGGTAGATTTGCGAATGTTCTAGATTTGGGGATTGTCCCCTGCACAATGATAGGAGGGCATTCTTTGATCACTCCTCAGGCCCCTCTTGGGGTGATGCTTCATTTGTGCACTCCAATAAAGCTTATCTGAGCATCAGAGGAAAAAGCCAGCCACTATATTAAACATAGAAGTCAAGCGATTGTAGCGCATGCCCTTAATCCTGGCATTCAGGAGGCAGAAGCAGGCCGATCTCTCTGAGTTCAAGGTCACACTGGGAACAGAGCCAGGCGTGGTGGCACAAGCCTTTAATCCCAGCATTAGTTAACCATGGAGGTCTGGAGGTCTGTACAGACAGACAGGAAGTGATAGAGCTGGGCGGAAAGAGAAAAGTGATGTAGCAGGCCAGAGAGAGGAAGTAAGAAGAGGCAGAGCACAGAAAGGCACAAAGGCACGGGTATACAGGAAGTAGCTTTCTCCTTGCCTGAGGATTTCAAGCGGTAAGAACGTGCCTGGCTTCTTCTGCTTCTCTGATCTCTCAGTTTTAACTGGCTCTGTTTTTTTGTTTTTTTAATAAGACCGTTTAGCAATTCGTCTTACATCCTCTAGCAACAAACTATCCACACATGACCAGAGGAACAAGATCAATAACAGAAAGGAAGGAAAAGGCCCAACACCCAGGGACTCAGCCCACATAGACCAGGACAGGCTGCCGAGGCTCTGGAGCCATGGTTCTCAACCCTCCTAATGCCGAGACACCTTAACACGGTTCCTCACGCTGTGCTGACCCCCAACCAGAAAATTATTCCCTTGCTACTTCATAACTGTAATTTTGCTACTGTTATGAGTTGTAATGTAAATGTCTGTGTTTTCCGAGGGTCTCGGGTGACCCCTGTGAAAGGGTTGTTTGACACACACACCCCCCCAAGGGGTCATGACTCACAGGTTGAGAACCACTGCTCTAAAGGGTTCCGCATTCATAAAGCGACTCACTGGTGCTGGCAAAGCACCCGGCCGGGAGCTCTCTTTAGCTGTGCCAGATAGTTCTCGGAAGCCAAACAACTCTGTTCTAACATTGCTGCTGCCTGACGAGAGACATTCTCTGTGGGGAAGGAGGCTGGCAAAAGCATGGATTCTTGGAAGGGAGCAACCAAAACCACTCCTGTTTACGACAGGGTCAGCTGGGGCTCTACCGCTCCTGTAAGCAGGGCT